ATTTTCCTCCCTTCCCTCCTATTATGAAGACGCATGAGGTTCACCTAGGTGAGGAAGAATACAAACCAACTTGTGGATATGGATTGTTAAGTACAAGGGAGAATTAACATTCTGAGGTCAGTACTTCTGTGGCATGTATAATTAAAAATGTTATTGTCTATGCAGACATAGGTGTGTTCACAGTGTTTATATGTAAGTCTGCATGTCATGGTGTCCATGTAAAGGTCAGAAGACAAATTTACTGTCTGAGGTTCATGAACTCAGGTCATTGGCTAAAGCCTCAAGCACTTTAACCCACTGAACATCTCAGCAGCCCTGTAAGGTTTTTTTTTAAATTATTTTTAAAAATAATAAACATCTTTCATGTTTTCTGCACCATTAGGTCTTACATCTAAGGCCATGGGGTCGTGACACAAAAGCCACTCTGGCTCTGTCTCCTGAGTCACACTTTTTCTGGTTCCTGTCCAGGGTTAAGGACTCAACAGTCTAGTTACTTTTGAGCGTCAGCCCAAGGTGATTTCAGGGTCTCTGGAGAGTTCAACACAGACCTAACACTTGATCTGAAAAACCTAACACTCGATCAACCGAGACCTGTGCCCAAATGTTCACAGCGGCAGCGGAACACCACCCAAAGACCTGTGGCAGGGGACGGGATAAACTGACCGTGGCATCCACAACGGTCATGAGTCAGCGGAAGAGCTATAGCACGGATGCATCAAAAACATGCCCGTGCACAGCATGACCCCTTCCTGCATTAGAAGCCAGAACACACAAGCCGTACGGCAAGAGGGCAGGGTAGTGGTTGCCAAGGCTGGGGAGGAAAGGAACGGGATGTGCTCGTTTATCAGCGAAGCGCTCTGTCACTGCGCTACATTCTCAGCCTCCTTTTCCTTTACGAAGTTACTCACTTGCAGCCCAGCCTGGCCTTGAACTCACTTGTAGCCCAGGCCAGGCTTGAATCTGCCTAAGCCTCCGGAATACTAAGGATTACAGGCCTGAGCTGCCATCCTCACAAGGATTACTTTTAAAGGGATTAAAAAAATTTGTTCTAGATCTAGACAGAGCGACAGCTGCACACGAGATGGAATGGACGCGCTAAATGCCATTGAACCGTACACTTTAAAATGGTTAAACTGGTGAAATAAATGTATGTTATAGTTTAAGTATACAACAAACCAAAACCAAAACTAAAACCAAGCTGTGTGACTTTGGGGCAAGCTACACAGCCTCTCTGGACCTAAAAATCTCAGGCATGAGAGCATGAGCACCCATGCCAGTTGGACAGACTCTGAGGTGGGTCTGTGGAAAGGACCGGGGCAGAAGGAAACAAAGGTCTCTTGTGATGATTATCAGGCTGTGCTGAAGCCACTCACCTGGAGCTTGGAAGTTTCCACATTGTCAAATAATCCTTTTAATTGGGTAAGAAGAATGCCAAAGAGACAGTTGTTGAATGAAGGATAAGACAAAAAGGAGGATGGCTTTATAGTATGTTTACTGTCTTGTTTTTGTTATTGAGTCAGGGTGTCACTGTGCAGCGCTGGCTGGCTTAGAACTCATCATGTAGATCAGGCTGGTCTTGAACTCACAGAGTTCTGTCTGCCTCTGCCTCCACCTTCCCAGTGTTGGGATTAAAGATGTGTACCACCATGATGTTCACTGTCTTTTTTTTGGGGGGTGGGGGTGGGGAGGGGTGGGTCCCAGGGCTTTGCATATGCTGGGCAAGTTCTCCACTGCCAAACTTTACCCCAGCCCGGTATGCTATTTATATCTTGAGTCTATACTGTGTTGAGGTAAGGGACACAATTAACTCAGTCACGGAGACTAAGGGGCTGCTCTGGCTGCCATATGCTGGCTGCATGTTTACCTAAGGTTCCTGCCGCTTTGCCTTGTCCTAAAATGAGCAGGCTTAGGCCTTTGCTCATTTTAGGAGGGCAGAGGGACCTTAGGCAGGAAAGAAGTTCCACCTATGCAAAATCCTGTATCTGCAAAGAGCTTTAGAAACCTTAGAATTTGGAGTTGGGCAGATGACTCACCCGGTAAAGAGTAGCAAGGTTGGATCCCTGCACCCTTGTTCAAAATTGCAGATGGTTTCTTGTGCCTGTAATCCCAGTGCTGGGGAGGTGGGGACTGTCTCTGGGGCCTGCTGGCCAGACAGCCTAGCCAAACTGGCAAGCTCCTGGAGAGCAACTGAAGAATATACCTGAAGTTGACCTCTGGCCTCCATAGGCAGGCACATGCATGAGCATATGCATATACACACAAACACATATGGATACACATAAGACACTGAGAACTTGTGTCTGTAAAGATGGCTCAGCAGTTAGGAGCATGTTTACTCTTGCAAAGGACTTCAGTTCGGTTCCCATCATCCATATTAGGCAGCTCACAATTACCTGTAACTCCAGCTCCAAGGAGATCCGATCCTCTGGACACCTGCATTCATGTACACACAAGCACACACACACACATGAAATAAATCTTAAAAAAGAAAAAAAAAAAAAAGAAAGAAAGCAAAACTTCAAACTCACAGGTGCAGATAGGGATGTAGATTTTCTTATCTCAGAGTGAGTTGGGACCAAATCAGCAGAAGTTCAAGCTTCCCCAGGCAAGATGAGCCACCACCTCCTATCACTGTGACTGACAGTGAGCCCAGGAAAGAGGGGAGGAGGGGTGAATAGGATTTCAGTCTGTCACTGGAACCTTTCTTTCCTTGGGCCCTGGAGCATATGGCAGGTGTTCTAAAAACTCCATTCCTGCCTCCCCGGGCTGGCTGAGCCCATCAACATGTGGGTGGGGGCGTCTGCCTCTCCATCTGGAAGGCCCTCTTCCTCCACCATGGCGACAGCAGCACAATGGAGTCTCCAGTGTGAACCTTGCAACCCCGCTCCCCAGACAGACGCTCGGGGAGAACTTCATGGCCCCAAGGAAATATAAGTCCCCTGCCCCCAACAGGCCCCGATGCAGCCCACAGATCACAGAGGCAGCAGGCCAAAGGCCATGGTGTACCTGAAACACGATGCCTGCTCTGCCCTTCTCCGATTGAGAAATCTCACAGACCTCTGCATCTCTTCCTGAGATGATAAGATGCTACAAAAGCCTGGGCTCTGGGCAAAATTAGCTCCCACTGATAACTGGCAAATTTTAGCTGGCCTGGATTTGAGACAACTTACAATAGGGTGGATGTCCTAGGTGAAAATAACACTAGGTTTGGGAAGCTTGAAAGTTACTCTCCTGTCAGGCACTTTGGCATTTGCCTGTAATTCCAACACTGTGGAGGACCACCAAGCCCGGGAGCAGACGAATCTATACAGTGACTTCCAGACTCACCAGTGCTACAAAGCAAGAGCCTGTCTCAAAAACCAACCAACCAAACAACAAACCACCCACCCACCCCCACCCACCCACCCAACAAACCAACCAACCAACTAAGATCTAAAACTGCTGTGTGGTATGCATACTTACATATATGCATAGATACATATGAGTGAGTGCATGTGTGCGTGTGTGTGAGTGTGTGTTTGAGGACCACCACTGAGTGACAGTAAACGATGGGGCTTAGAGCAATGTGCCAGGATCCGACAAAGGCACAGCAGAAAGCGGGTGCTACCCTCCTATAGCATCAGCTAGGAAATACTCAACAGCATAGGGTAGTAACCCAGCGTAAAGAAGAATGTAAAACCCGACTGCAAGTTGAGTGTGAAATGTTAATACTGGATGCCAGGGTAACGTCCTTAATGGCAGCTGTCTAGTTTGAGCCCAAGACTTCAGGGACGCTTCACTCCTCTGCGCCAAGGGCAGCACAGAGAGGTGGAAGCCCGGTTCTGAGGGAGTCCCCAAGCTTCACTCATTTTGCTGTTTCCACAAATGCTCATATGAGGACTTATGGTGCGCCAAGCTCTTTTCGCTCTCCGCAAATCTCTGTGCGTAGTGCGCATGTGTTTGCTTGTGCATAGGGGCATGTTGTGTGCGCATGTGTATGAGGTTCTACCGGTTGATGTTCAGTGTCTTCCTCGATTGTCCTCTACCTTATAGAGCGAAGCACTTATGTGGGTGCTGGAGATTCGAACTCCCAGCAAGCGCTTTCCCCACGGCGTCATCCCTAGTGGGTGTTAGTTCTAAGGACATGATCCTGTGTGTCTCTACATCTGTGACCTCAGCTGTGCAGAAGGATGGGGGTGGTTTCCAACAGGGGTGGGTAGCCCACGTCTACAAATGCAGCAAGAGGCAATGAAGGCAGAGGGAGCACCGGATGCAAAGGTCTATAGTGGGACAGAGCATCACCAGGGTGGCTGCCGTCCAGGGAGAGATGAGCAGAAAGGCATGAATCCAGAGGGAAAAGAGCTTGAAGTCTGGCCATTATCTTGAGGCTCTTGATCCATCACAGAACAGTTTTCAGGGGCAAGGTGACATAGCAGACCTGTGTGGTCAGGAGCTCATTCAAGCTTCAGTACAGTGATAGAGTAAGTTTCACCCAGAAGGACAGATGGCCAGAGATTGGCTGTTTATAGTGAGACCTCTTTGGAAGTTGTAGACCCCATACGGAATGTGCTCAGGCCTGAGGACTACATCATAGACCCAACTTAGAACCAAATAAAGCTCTTTCACCTCTAAACAGCTCTGAAAACACTGAGTGGTAGGGCCTAGTTAGAGCCTTCATGGAAAGAAGCAGGAGGCACAACATCAAGGGCACAGGCCTGGCATCAAGCAGCTACGGTCTCAAATACTGTCTGTCATGTACTAGTTGGGCAACCCAAAGCAACTTTCTAAGCATCTCTGAGCCTTCATAACATGGGGTACCAAGACTGAATTACTGTGTAGATTTATTAAGGTCATGCTGTGAATATCCTTATTATTTTATCTGGTATGTTATAGGTACACAAACTAACGGCACTTATTAAGACAATTCACACCCAGCAAAGGATGAACAGAGGCCATGGAAAGCTCACAGAAATCAGAATGGCGTAGCAGCAACTCGGCTAGCTGTGGATGTTTCTACTTACTTGCCAGCAGGAGGCAGGAGACAGCCACAGTATACAGCTGCTTGGAGGTGGTGATGTTGTACTGGTCCATGAAATGGTCCAGAAGGTAGATGGCCAGGTGCCGGGCTGAGGGGCATAGGTGGCAGTGTCTGCTCAGCAGGGTCAGAATGTCTACAAAGAACCGACGGTTCTTCAGGAGCGGGGAGTGGGCGCGGAAGGTGGGCAGCTTCAGTTCCTGAAGGAAGGGGAACAGAGGAAGGTCAAGGACGCTGAGACCCTGGGCCTGCCTGTGGACTGGCAGAGTGGGCAGCGGTTCCCTCTACAAACTCATTCCTTTGTTTCAAATCTCAGATGGTGACGCATCTGTTCTAGAAACTCTGGACCAGTTCCTATCAGCCCTCCCTCAGCAACAGGCCCATTGGTATCATCATGATGATAGAGAAAGCCAGGCATTTCCCCAAGAAAGGCCTTGCGGAGATACTCAAGGCAATGAAAGAATGGTGGCCTGGAGGCAGGGCCCACATCTAAACTCTGGGTTCACTGCACAGCTGAGTCATTTTCTCCCTTGGTTTCTTGTCAGTAGCTGAGGTTTAGAAAAAATGTGTGCCAAATGTCTAACACACAGGAACATCCCTGCTAACTCCCTCCGTGCATAGGATTGAGTGATCATTTCCCCCACTTTGAGGAAAACAAAACAAAACAAAACTAAACTAAACTAAACTAAACTAAACTAAACTAAACTAAACTAAACTAAACTAAACTAAAAAGTGTTGCTGGACATGACTGTAATCCCCGTAACCCAGGAGGCAGAGGCAGGAGGATGACTTGAAAGGCCAGTGTGTTCTATGCAGTGTGTTTTAGACAGACAAGGCAACATAGCAAGGGCATTCCTCGGTAAAAGCAAACAGATTTGAAAGAAGAGCTCAAGGAGCCAGCAAGTGCTGTCCACCATGATCGCTAATAGTTGACATTCTGCCTCTGTCTCTGTCTCCACACACAGTTTCCCACCACAGGTTCTCAACACCATGATTCTCCTCTCTCCAAGAAGATACCTTCCACTTCTACACTGCCATGTTTTCTGAATTTATCTGATGAACACAAGAAAAAAAAAGAGAGGAGAGAAAGAAAGAAATATTAAAACAAGAATGTGTTTGTTTGTTTTTGAGGCAGGCTTCCTACTCTATAGTGCAGGAGACCTGTTAGCTGCCATGGAGCCGAGGCTGGCCCTGAAATAAAGCCTGCTACCCCCATCCCAGCTGCTGGGATTTCAGAGGTAGGCCATCAAATCTTATTATTTTTCTTGAGATTTATTTTTATTTTATGTGTATGAGTATTTGCTTACCCATATGTATGTGCTGTGTGTGTGTGTGTGTGTGTGTGTGTGTGCGCGTGTGTGTGCACACACATGTCTGAGTACATTCCTGATACTCTAGGAGGCCCGAAGAGATGCCTGTGATCTGCTGGGAACTGAATGTGGGTCCTCTTCAAGAGCAGAAATTACTCTTCACTGCAGAGCCATCTCTCTAGTCCCCCACCTCTTTCATTTTCTCCCCCTCCCCTGCCTTAAAAGAAGGTACTATGTATGTAGCCCAGGCTGTCCTGGAACTAGCCATCCTCCTGTCTCAGCCTCCCAAGTTCTGTAATTACAGGTGTGCACCACCACACCCTGCTCCAACAAAGATTTTTACAATTTTTTTCATATACCTAAGATATTTGCCTTTTTTTTTTTTTTCCAAGACGAGGTTTCCCTCTGTAGCCCTGTGTGTCCTGGAACTCAGAGATCGGACTGCCTCTGCCTCCCTGGTGCTGGGATCAACAGCCTTCCCAGCTCTTTTAACCGCTAAGTGTTACCTGTGCTTTGCAGGGCGCTACTGAACAACCTTCCCTTGCTGCATCTTCTGAGGCAAACTCTTATACTTCTTTCATAGCTTCCTAGCTGTCCGGACACACTTTAGTAATCCTGGCACTCAGGAGGAGCTAACATTCCAGATCTGACCAAGCTACACAGTGAGTTCCAGACAAGCAAAACCCAAAACTAGCAACTTTTCTAAAACAACTTTTCTTTGCTTCCTGTCTGATTTCCCCCTGCGTCTGCCAGGCCCAGAGCTGTACCCTGAAGACATTTTCCTTCCTCCGTTCCTCTACAGTTAGTTATTGGCTGCCGTATTCACACTGAGGTGCTGGGGTTTGGAACCTGCACTAAAGGAGTTTGAACTCCTGTAGTGGCCACACAGAGCCACCAAACAATGTAGATAAAAAGCTTACAATGTTGGCAGAGCATTTTCTTAATTTAAGCTGAGAATAAAATGCCTCCATGGCTTCCAAAATAAAATGTTGATCTACTCATGGTGGCTCACACTCTTAATCCCAGAGGCTGCCGGGCTAAGGAGGGAGTTTGAAGCCAGCCTGGACCAATTTAGCAAGTTTGAGAGCAGCTTAGACTACACTGTAAGAGACTACCTCAATAAACAAACAAATGATGCCAAGCATAGTGCCTCACACTTGTAATTCTTGCCCCTGGGAGGTGGAAACAGTAGGATCAGGAGTTCAAGGTCATCCTGGACTACACAGTGAATTTGAAGCCATCTTGGGTTATATGAGACCTTGTCTCAACAAACAAACAAACAAACAAACAAACAAACAAACAAGCTATTTGCTAAGTAATAGAACTACTGAATTATGAACTCACAGCAGCTGCCAGGGCCTGCACTGGGTCTGCACAAGAATGGGCCTGTCAGGCGCCGAAGGAGGGGCTCAAAGAGCCTCATCCCTCACCTCTGAATCTGCTACTGTTGTTAAAATTCCTTTCTAGGGGGAGAAGTTGGTCTATCCTTTCTCCTGAGGTCTTACCTAATAAGCGTTACTCAGGCAGAGTTCACCAATGAGTTTGTTTGGCTTCCTTACAGAATATAGATGAAGAGTTAGTCTTCCCTCGAAAAAGCCCCCTCTGGAAATCCCTGATCCAGAAGGGATGACGGCTTCCTATAGGCTGGCAGGTGGAGCCACCCTGCCAGAGGCTCACTAGGCCTACAGACTCTCGCCCTTCCCAGAAGCCATGGGCACTTGGCAGCATTGTTTGAGACAGGTGGTAGAGAATGGCTACTTAGATGAGGGAATTGTGATCTCAAATAGGTATAAACTGGCAACAAGCCTGGCTAGGATAATCCTTTCACAATAGAGCATAGCTGAATGTCCCCCAAGAGTAGTGGGCACTTGGCTCAGAGAACACTTACTCATGACGGCATTGAAGGAGAGGGAAAGTCATCGCCCTCAGTTGTGGGCCCACTGGTGACTCCATCAGGCTCTAATGGACAGTTCCAGTCTAGTGCTCACACAGATGGCTCTGGTTAAACTAAACGATTCTCACACATACACACACACACACACACACACACACACACACACACACACACACACAGCAATGTGCCGTGACACACACATATGAAAACGACAGAATGAAACCCATTATTTTCAAAGTCTTTTAGTCTCCAGTCCCCTTGCGAATTCAGTAAAGCCATGGGATTAAGGGACCTTTTCCAACTAGGTTTCTTCATGTGTCTAAGGAATTTATCCGGGCTCCATGCATCTTCATAAGCAAAGCTCTCAGGCTGCAGAGCTAGCTAGCTCTGATCTTGACTTCTCAACCTCTGAGGACAAGCCAGAAGAGAAGCAAGGGTCGGGAGACCTGAACCCACACTTCGGCCGGGCAAGGACTCCCTCTCCTCAGGCTGTCATACATCCACAACTTTCACTGTGACACAGCTGTGGTTTTGTTTCTCTTAGGTCTGTATCATGACTGGAATTGCTGACTCGTGGGGCGACAGAGTGTGATAGCTTTGCCAGGCTGCTCGCCACAGTAGTTTTCCTAGCTAAGATCCCCAATACCTAATATACAAAGGATCCAGTTTGTCCACATCCTCGCTTACACCTGTTTAAAACTTTCATCTTTTGGGTTTTTTTTTTTCCTTCAATTTTTAATTATTCTTCATCCCAGGGAATGAGGTATTATTTCCCTGTGGTTTGGTTTTGTTTCCCTAACGCTCAGCAATGATCTGCATTTTTTTCATTTGCTTACTGGCCATTTTAAGTCTTCCTTAGAGAAATGCTTTTTTAACACTTTGCCCATTTTTATTTGTTTTGTTTTTAAGATTTGTTTTTTATTTTGTATTCATGTATATATGTATATGTGTGCAGGTGTCTACAGTGGCCAGAAGAAGGTATCAAATCCCCTAGGGCTGGATTTACACAGGTGGCTATGGGCTTCATGGTTGGAATTGAACTCAGGTTCTCTGGAAGGGCAGCAAGCCCTCTTAACTGCTTAGCCGTCTCCCCAGCAGGAAAGTTCAGTTTTAAAATCCCGCTTATAGTTCTTTATGCTGCTTCTGATTTTGGAATCATATTCTAGATACCATGGATTTGTCCAAAGTCATAGAGTATTTACTCCTGTTTTCCTTTAAGAGTTTTACAGTTTCAAATCCTACATTTAGGTCTGAGTCTGCCTTACTGAAGTTATACCCCCAGTGCCTAAAATCATGGCTCATGTGTAGAAAGAAAGGTCTGTGATACTGAGTAAAACGAATGAGTTCATATTTCTGGTGAATGAACGAACAGACACTTCTTTCTAGTTCTGATCTGCAGCTGGTTGAGCAAACGGTTAGAGGGGCATCATGCTGGGTACAATAGCAGGACCCTTGTCTAGCATGTACTTGGCGCTGGGTTCGATTCGCAACACCATTTTTGAGGAGTTTGTTGAAATAGAATGGAAGTGCTAATTTCCTTGCTGTCACTAGTAACTGCTCATAATTCCTTGACTGCTAATTTCCCTCCTCAGTTTTGATTCTCTTCTGCTTCCCTATTTAACAGAATAGTCATTGAGGTGTGTGTGTGAGAGAGAGAGAAGAGAAGAGATAGAGAGATAGAGATACAAAAATACTGCTCCTTTCCGCCACTCGTGAGAACTCAGCTAGCCCAGAATGGTACAGATCTGGCCCAGAGGACCAACAGCGACTGTTTGAGTGTGAGTAACTCAGTCTCAGAGGTGGTTTCAGCCATCAGATGGTGGTGATGCTACAGATCCAGTGAGACACATTATCGATGGCCCAGCAGCATGTGCCAAGGCCCAGCCCCCAGCATTTCTTAGTTCTGTGCCTGCAGAATGGGTGTAGTATACAACCTAGCCTCTGCCTCATCTTCTCTCGGCTTCAGCCTGCTCATTCACTTCTCCACTTTGCTCTC